ATAAGATTGGTCAGGAGCAGGTCATCAGCTCTTCACCCCACTTGAAGCCATCAAACTGATAGTACCCTTGGGCAGTGCCTGCTGGCGTTCACTACCAGCTCCCTGTCTCTGTGCCACAGCGCTGGCCTGCCTCCTGCCATGGGATTTACTCTGCCCCAAGACCGTGATTCAACCCACCAAGCATCCCTCTGAATGAGCCCCCTGTTCTTGGGGTCATCACAGGAGAAATCTGATCTCCCCTCTGAAGCAGCAGCTCAGAGGGCCCGAGGCGGTGGGAATCTGCTGTTCTTCACTGAAAGTGCTGTCGGTATTTGATCACTTGGAGTGTTTTGACATGGTTTGCAGTTGGATACGCTCGTCCTCAGCCTGTGAACTTATGCACGTCAATCAGGCAAGCACATGTCAGCCTCCACATCAGTGTCTAGGAGGTCTACAGCTGACAAGATAACCTTTTCATGACCAACACGTTGCTACTTCAAGGAATGGAGACAAGAATTCGGTCTGATCTCCAACAAGATAGGAGGCTATTACGCACCTTTTTACACCTGAAGAGCTTCTAACCCTTTTCTTGCCTTTCCAATGCAGGTCTTCACCACTTTATAAAGAGGTTTTGGGTTGTTTTGGGGTTTTTTTGTTTGTTTTGTTTTGTTTTTTAAATGAACTTTCCACACAGATGACCAGCAGTGGAAGAAAAGACTTAGCAAACTCAAGTCACAGATTTGGACAGCTGGTGTGACCTGGGATCTTGCTCACAGACCTACCATAAAGCCAAGACACTCACCCTCAGTGGTTTGAGCTCTTTTATGTGTCACAAGACAAGGGTTTTCTAATGATGGGTGATTTTTAGTGCCCAGAAAAGCATCAGTGTAGGTATCAAACATCCAGCAAATTATTTCACTCTGGAAAAGTGATAGGAGAAACAAAAGCTTTGGCATTTTCCCACCAAAAAAACCTACCCAGGATTTGTCACCTCCTGTGTCCAGTTCCAAGGAAAGAGCCTGCCTGTGGCTTCCTTGGGATGCCCTCTCCACTTTCTATGTGCAGAAAGATGACCCACTGATGTGGGCACACGAGAAACTCTCCTGCAGGTTCTCCTCACATAGGAGGGCCAGCCCACATTCCACCAGAAAGCAGCCCCCAAACACCCCATGCAGCAGAGACTGGGGAGATGGCCATGACCTGGAGGTCACACACGGGTCTCCTCACTGCCCCAGGACCTTTGCTAGGTTTGGCGATTCCTCATGCCCACACTGCAGCTGGCAGGAGCCAGCACAGCTCCACTGATTTCAGCTACATGCTGAGCCAGGCCATTCGGAGCAAGGCAAGGATCCAAACCTTCATCTGGAGGTGGTTTTCTTAGACAGCAAGGTCACATCCTTCTAGGAAGGTCACTTGCTCTGGCTCCTATGTCTGTGCACTACAAGTCTCCAACAAATACCTGAAAATACCATTAAGATTCAAATACCCAGATGCAAACCCAGCCAGCGTTGCCCAGCACCATTTTGATTTTCACTCCAGACTGCATCTGCCACAAGCTCCTGTACAGACCATTCACAAAGAGCAAGTTAATTAACATAATATCACTCAGAGCTGGCTGCCTATCAGTATCATCTAATCAGTGTCCTCAACTGACAACTAATCTCTGACTTGATCTTTCCTTGGCCACCGAGCAATGCCTGAACAGAAGGAGCTTTGTTTTGAGTCACCAGAGACACAAAGGTCAGCTCCCAACCCGTTCCTGGCATTGCCCTTGCCTTGGAGAGCAAGGTAGAACCTGTTTTCATGTCAGACCTTGTTCTTTTCTTCCTGGCTTTGACAAGAAGGTATCATTTGTCCTAGGGAGTCACTCCTTGGGCTGAGAGTGGGCTCAGACATGGAGCACAGTATGGCAAAGCAGCACCATGAAAGGACAGCCCAGGGGGGCAAACCAAGGGACACCTGACAACCCACCCAGCCTAACAAAAGTCATCTGCCATGCAGTGACTCCACCACCTGCGGAAGATAAGGCCCAGCCAGGTTTGCTTTGGCAGGATCCATCCACACCGTGAAATAAGGCACAAGAGAATATGAAATCCAGATGACAGGAGGACCCACATCTGCTACTGCATGGCACAATTGTAAACTGGGCTCATGTTTGGGCTGTGTCAAGCACACAAGCCAACTTCCAAAAAGCGAACAGGTTTAAAAACATGAGTTCTGCTGCTTTTACTAGTCAAAGATCTGCCCTCATCCACAATACCGATCCTTTCCCAGAATTATATACTATATATAATAATTTTATACATATACACACACATTTACTTGAGAAACTGCTATTACAGTGTGTCATTACATTTTCACGAGATTTTAAAAGCAGGCAAACAGTCTGTAAGACATGGGTTTTGTGGGGGTTTTAATTTGGGGGAAGCAATTTGGTAAGTGTAAATTGGTAGTTAGGCTGATGGAAAGCCAGACTGACGTACTTAAGCATTTTTCAAACAGGAGATAGCTGTGGGTGGGGAAGACACACCTTTTATCTTTAAAAGATTTAAAAAAAAACCCCAAAACCACACTGATTTAAACATCATGTTTTAAGAAGTATTCAAGTGAGGAGAATTTTTAAGGCAATTTTAACATCTACTTTTATATTGCAGGCCTGGGTGGTGTTTACCCAGCCATTGCCTACAGCTGGATCCCTATACTACACCTCTCCCAGATCTGCCCCTTTCCTTACACATCTGATGTGTGTAAGCACATCTCCACCTCCAGTCCCCAGTGACTATGAACCTCATCAGATCCCCTCTGCTCCAATAGCACCAGCCAAGTATTTCTCTAATACCACCAAGTCCAGTGATAGAGAAGCCTCAAGCCATAATTTCCCCAACCTGTCCACCAAAAGTCCAACCCTTTTCCCTGCTGCTGTCCTGAAATAGAGCAAAACCCCAAATCAACCCGGGAAATCCAGGCTGCTCCTAGGCTGCTCTTTATTTTACAACTTGTAAAATAAAAATCACAAGATGTCTTCATACAGTCACACCGTGTTTAGAATGTTTTTTTCCTGCATGTTGGACTTAGAAAACATAGCACAAGAGCAGCAAAGCAGTGACTGATGAAGGGCAGTAAGGAAAACACCTTGTTTTGAACATCTCAGAAAATGAGCTATGAATTCCCATCCCCATTTGGTGGCATCAGCACATATTTATGTAACCTATCCACGTCAGGGAGCTGTGATGAGAGCAACTTGCATTGGGAAACACCCACCCATACCTTTTAGGCAGTCCTACCATGGAGCATGGAGTTGCTCACGGTACTGCCATGAAGGGCTGGGGTTCATAGTGATTCTCCCCCCATCAGGTGAAGGGGACACAGCACACAAGAAAAGACCAGGCTTTTTTTTTTTTTTTTTTTTTTTTTTTACCAGAGATTTTTTTATCTTTTTAATTTCAACTTGGTACGTGATTTCTGACAGTGTGTCAGCATCTCCCGCCGGGTCAGCCATCTCCAGACCCCGCTACATTCAGTGTCAGATCGTACAGGGGCGATGAGCCAGTGTTTTGAGCCTCACAGTCACTTGCATGTCTGCACGGGTTGTCACTTACATCGTTTGTGAACAGCAGCACAAAAGGACACAACACATGAAAACGAGAGTGGGGATGAGGTGAGGGCCAGATGAAGGCTCGACCCCTAAGGAGAATCTTCCCCAGGTTCCCACAGCTCCAGCAGGGATGAACCTGAGCACGGGGTGGGAAAGGCAGGGCTCTCTCTCTTTTCTCCTTCGCTCAGGGGGTGGTGATATGGGCTGCAGTGTTTTCCAGCGCCAGGACAGCAGCTCACACTGGTCTAGCACCCATATCTGGGAGCACAGGATGGGGTCGCTGGTGGAGGCAGGCTGGGCCCCGCTGTGGGTAGGAGGAGGTGATGTAGAGAAGCACGGCTGAGCCCCGATGGGCTGTGATGTCCACCAGCTCCAGCAGCGTTGTCCACCCCTCACTGACCTCCCAGGCACGTCCAGCAGTGGAGACAGGACCTGGCCACCACGTTGTCCCCATCAATCTGCTGGCGAAAGAGCAGGTTTCTGGAGCCAGCTCTGCTTTGTGTTTCAACTGCACCTCAAAAGCAGTGGGGCAACCTGAGAACACCAAAAATAACCAACCCCGAAACCCAAACCTATCTCCTGAAATGAACCGATGTTCCTTCCCTACCACTGGGCGTTTGCAACCTAAACATAACGTTTATAAAAAGTAAATTATTTCCTCTTATAACTTAAGTGCATTGAGTCTTTCCTTAAATATGGTTCACGCTGAAAATAAAGTTACTTTTGCTGTACAGTAAATTTCTGATAGACTTAGAAATAAACTTTGTTGATACAATCTGGCAGGTGTGGCCGCGTAGCACAACACTCACAGCCACACGGCTCTGCACGCACGCATGGGCGTGCCCACACACACACACACACACACATACACACACACAGCCCCTTCCTCAGGGACGATGTTAGGGGTTTCTAGCTTTCTATATTCACATGGGAACATCTATCTTAAAAGTCCCTATGTTTAAGCAGCGAGCGCTCAAACCGGTTGAGGAAACACAGGGGAAAAAAAAAAACCCTGCAGCAACATTTTCCCTCATGTTTCCCCAAAGCACTGTCAGCTTTTCAAATTTCAAAGCCCAGCTGATCCTGCAGGCTCTCTCCATGAAGATCAGCAGCTTGCTCTTTCCGAAGGTGGTATGGAGGGGATACGGCACTGGGATGCTCCTGTGGGACACTCCCCCTCCCCCTGCCGAAACGAGAAATTTGTTTCCCCGTTTGAAATTTGAAAATCCACCAGCCAGCTGCAAAAACCACTCCTGTCCCTAATCCTAGGCTCCTAAGAGAAACATGAAACTATGCAACCCATAACTTAACTCGCTCCTTGGGAATCCCAAGCTACAACATATTTGACAGCATCCCAGCAGTGTTGCTTCTCCCTCCCTCCCAACCCCAAGGGCTCTGTAGCCCCTTTTGGGGCAGCACAGCAGCGGCAACTGCCCCGTGCCAGGGACCACGCTGCACTCAGGAAGTGAAGTAGGAGTTCTGCATGGAGTAGAGGTGGTCGATGGGGTTTCCCACTCGTGCCTGGAGTGGCCCCGCGTCCGCCGTGGCGAGGAAGCAGTCACCCAGGTTGCTCAGTGAGGTATCATCGCTATCCAAGTCGTGGAAGAGGGGCTCGGCACCTTGGGAAGCAGGGAAGGAGCAGAAGGGCTTCAGAGCCTGCTTTCTCCTCCGGCACCTTGGCAGTGCCTGGTACCCCCAGCTTTTGTAGAGAAGGTATTTTTAGGGGTGAGGGGACCACCAGAAATTGCTGCATCCCCCCACGCATGCCCCCATCACAGCTCAGCATCTCTCTGAGGTAGAGAAGGCAAAAGGCAAATCCTTGAGCCCTACCGTAGGGATGCATGTGGTCTCCAGGCATTTGAGGTGGGGTGAGCCCTTGCCGGAAAGGGTCGGAGCCGTAGACGCTTTGCTCCATGCCCAGCAGCTGCTGGGGCGGGGGCAGAGTGGTGTAAGGGTTCAGCATCCCCTCCAGCCCTGTGCTGCCACCACCGTTTGTCTGGCCTGGAAGATAAAATCAAGTCATCAGCACAGTCAGGCTACTGCTTTTGGGGTGGCCCAACAACACTGGGAAGCCTGGAGATGGCTGGGAAACAGGGAGACCCCAAGCGTGGGGAGAGCCTGGGGGGTACCTGAGCTCAGGCGCTGTGTGTTTTGCTGATCCTGCTGCTGCTGCTGCTGCCTCCTGGCAAGCTTCTTCATCTGGCCAGGAAGAAGGGGGAAAAAAGGGAATGAAGCCATCCCCCGGGCAAAGCCAGGAGGGAGGGAGCCCCATCAACAGCCACTGCTGGGGGCTTACCCCTTGTACCCACCTTTGCTCGCTGGTTCTGGAACCAGACCTGCACCACCCGGACGCTCAGCCCTGTCTCTGCTGCCAGCGTCTCCCGCACCTGGGAGAGGAGAACGACAGCAGTGCCTCAGCCCACTCAGCTTTTCAGAGGGACTTTAGGAGGTGGTAGAGCACTCAGGACAAGTCCTTGCCCAGCATCAAGGACATCCACGAGGGCTGGAGGCAGCTGGGCACGGGCCCTTCTCCCCATACCTTCCTGCAGGGCTTGGAGGAGACCTCAAAGGATGCCTTGAACGCCCTCCGCTGCTGCGTGGTCAGGATTGTCCGGGGCCGCTTGGGCCGTTTGTGATCCTTCCCATCCTCAGCGCCCTTCCCCGAGGCTTGGCCCAGTTTGCAGATGCTGTCCTCATCGTCACTTTTGCCTAAAGGGGGGGGGAAAAAGCAGGTCCTTAACAGACAATGTGCCAGACACATCATTTCCAGTGTGTCCAAAATAATCTGGGAGATTTAAAACAAGCTGGTGTTGGTGGGGATCTTCTTGTGGATGTGTACAAGAAGCTGAAGTTTGGGGCTGGCTGCCCTATGGCAGCTCAGAGGGGGAGAGCTGCTGTCACTTGTAGTTTGTGGTTGCTCAGCCAGCAGATGGGCTTGTGGGTTCTTCTTTTCCCCAACAGTCTGAGCAGCTGCCATGTGAAACCCTGGGACAGCTGATTTTTCCTCCATCAGACCCAAACCCCTGACTGCTCCTCAGGAATTTCCAGCCAGGCCACAGCTGGGGACATATCTGGACAGAGAAACAGAGGTCACATCCATGTGAGAGGACAGCAGATATCGAGGACCACTGTGCCCCTGGGGCTGTCCCCCAGCCCAGCTGGTGACAGACATCAGGTCCCACAGCCTGGGCAGCCCCAGCTGGGTAAAGTCAGGGTGCTGGGCGAGCAGGCATGCTCAGAGGGGGCAACATGTTAGACAAGATACCCTCACAGACTCCTCCTGCTTTGCTCTACCCTGAAGGACAACTACATTTAGAGCACAGACCTTTAATCACACTTCTGAAGGACACCTTCTGGCCTACATTTCCCCCTTTTTGTGGAGTTTTAAATCCTCCTAGACAGAAGCCCAAGATCCTTCAGGCTTCACTCCTCAGGTACTTGCTGTGATGTGCTGCTCCACTGCATTCCCAGGCACTGAGGTATCTCCCTGCTGCTCTCCACCACTCAGACCCAAGGAGCCTTCAGGAAAGATCTGCTCCAGGAAAGTGGACAGTGCTGCCCTGCCTCTTCCCAGCCCTCCTCGTTTACTGCATTGCCACTGTGCTGATGACCTCGCTTGTTCAGCTGCTGTGGGAGGGCTGTAACACAAGTTTGATAGCACAAGTCCTTTCCTCTCACTAGCTATAAATCACTTAGACCCTTTTCCAGAAAGTTCCTGCAGTGTTCTTTTGGGAATCGATAATGGAGCTGAGGTGCTGGTTTGATACAGATACAGGCTGCAAGGCTGTTGCTTGGCCCAAGTCCATCCCGGGGCTGCCATGGCTCTGGGAATGCACCTGGGAATGTGAGCCTGGCTCAGAGTAATTCATGGTGAAAACAGGCCAGGTCAAACGCTATGGAAAGAGCTAATCACGGATCATACATCAGAAAACTGTAAATCCAACGGCAGCCCAGTTGGGAATGGGGAAAGATGGGAGAACATTTCTAGGGTGAGGGGTTGCAGTGACCCCAGTGGAGCAGCAAGGATGCTCTCAGGTACCAGTTCTCTCTTCCCTCTACACCAGTGGGTTCTCTCCTGGGCTCACCAGCCAATACAGAGACTTCCCCCATGGCGAGGGCCGGGAGGGATGGGACAGGGAGTGCTCTTCATGCTGGCAGTCCCCAGACAGATGGGACCTGGGTGCTGGCCCCTGCAAACCAGGGCCTTGCTGCTGCTCAAGCTCCCTGCTCACTCATGACACACCCATGGCACGCCCACAGCAGCAGGAAAGACAAACTTCTGTTTTCTTGCATGTCCCAACACCAGGGACGTAGAACTGCAGCAGGTCTGAGAGCTCCAGCACTGGGGAGGCCCAGGGTGTGGAGTCTCTGATGGCCAATGGGGCTGAGCAGTGGCTGATCTCTGCTCCACTGGGCTGCCTGCCTTCCTGAAACCTGAAGGGGTTTAATTTTGATGGAAAGGTAGAGATTTTTACACATAATGTGAGGAGGAATGTCAACTGGTGCCTGAACCCATTGGCACCCTAGGACGAGTTGAGCACCCCACTCCCCTCCAGTCTGGGAGAGGCAGAACCCAGCATGGTAAAGCCACAGGCTCATGGACTCTATCAAGTCATGATGCTCAAAACCCACTCCAAGGGGGAAAACATGCTCAGAGCAGCCCCTCTGAGCCCTCCCCCCGCCAACACCTGCTCCCCAAATCCCTCCAAGTGTCAAAGGCAAAGAAGGAAAAGTGAAGCCGGATTTGGCGGGGTATTACTTTTAATTAACTCTCCCTTTCAAGCCTTTCCCCACTGAGGAGGGGGGAGAAATTAATGAGTGTCTGGGGCTGCCCCTGACGTCACCTGGGAAGGGGCCGGGGCGACGGATATTGTGCGGCGTGCCCTCGGTCCGACCCGCCGAGCCCACATCCCGCCGCCGGGGCCAGGACATTCCTCGCTCAGGAGGATTTAGGGAGAGGAGAAACGTTAGGACGCTTTTAATTGGAAAGCAGGGTCCTCTTTCAGAGGGGCTTGTTTACTCAGGCTGGGCGGCGGAGGCTCGGGGGAGGCAGTAATTGAAGCGAGGGTTTGGGAGATTACAGACAACATATGGCTCGCTTTTTATCTGTGCTTTCTCATAAAGTGGCCCTTGGTGCGCGGCAGCCGCGGGGAGGGAGGGTGGGGGGCTTCAAAGCAGCGAGGGGGGGGACAGGGAAGAGGCTGGACAAGCACATCACTGCTGGTGAAGGGCATCTGGGACTGGGGCCGGAGTGGGGACACCCCTCTGCATCCCTCGGCATGGTAATGGGTTCCCCAGGGGAGGATGCAGCAGGAAAGGGAGAAGCCACACCACACTGACCATACACGTGGGATGTGTACCTGGGCTGCCCCCCACTGTGCCACTGTCCCCAGAGCCACGTGGGACAAACTGCTGGTGCCCACCAAAAGCAGGCAGGGATGGTGGGGGGGCTAAGCTATGGGGTCTGCAGGGAGATGGGAAGGGCTGAGACCCCCCAGTCAGAGGCTGCCAGGGGATGTCAGGGGCTTCGGGTTGGGTTTCCGACCAGCCAAGGGGTTGCCATGCCCTTTTGACTCCCACACTGGCCCTTTGCATCCCTTAGGCCTCAGCTGGAGTTTCTACTGAAATAAGTATTTCCCCTGGAGGATTTTGCTAAGTCAAAGCTCTTGGTTTGGCCGGAGCCCCTGGCAGCAGGGCTGGACCACAGGCCAATGAGTCGCTGGGGAGGAACAGCTCCCAACCTTTCCCAAACTGCCCTTTTCCCCCACTAGGAACAAACCCAAACCATTGTGGCCAATTTACTTACTCTCGTGCATGACATCTCCTCATTGGTTCCTATTTTAACTGAAAGAGTTTGCACATCCCAGAGGAAAAAAAAATAATTCTTCAATCAGTTAAGGACTTTCCCAGGGATAAGCATGCTGGATCCTCCTGCACTCCTGCCTCTCCAGCTCCTCCAGCACCGGATCATCACTCACCAGCTTTCCCCAGCCACCTCCTCCCATGGCCTCACTCTATTTTTTAAATATCATCATTGTTATTTGGGGGGAGGATTTTTTTCTCCTGAGCCAGTGGGTTGCAGAGCTCGGACAGAACCCACACAGGCAGTGCTGCAAGGCAGCCAGGCTCTCACTGCAGAGGAGCACGATATTAAAGAGAAATATGGGCTTTGGGAAATTTTTGCTCCAGATCTACCAAAACCATCCCTGTCCCTTCACACACCTTCTCCCAGCTACAGCATTCCAGTGCCTGGCAGAGAGCACCAGGCTCTGTCGTTTCTATGCTTCACACCTTAACACAGCACTCCTAATCTCGATTTCTACTTTTTAAATTCCAGTGGTTTGCTTTAGCAGGGAAAAGACAGCCCCCTGCCAGTTGCTGGCAGCCCTTTCCAGAGCATGGCATTTTAAAGGTAAATCCTTTCCTCTGCAAAGCAGATTTTTCCCCAGTGAGGGTTTTTAAGAGGAGCTGAGAGAACCAGGCATGGGGCTTGCCACCCTGGCGAGGAGCAGTGCTCTGTGGGGACAGCATTAACACGAGCATTTCTGCTAGCAGATCATTTCCACCCCCCTGGTCCCCAGTGCTGGGCTCTCTTACTAAATTTGTCTTCCTGGGAAACATTTGGATTTGATTTGCACTGACTGTGGATACATATTTTAATGTTGATCTGATGCTCTGGGCAACTTAAGCCGGCTGTGTCACCTTGGCTGGAGCAGGATGTCAGCCCCCTGCCCACCTCCAGCTGTGGTGCCACCTCTCCTGCAGTCCCCCTTGGCTCTGCAGTGTTCCCACAGTGTCACCATGCTGGCTCAGCAGGCTGGTTCTGGCCATCAACTGCCTGGGAAGTTGCTGGGAACACAAGATTTGCAGTTTCCCTGCTGCCAGCTCACATTTTAGCTGTGTGCCTCAGTTTCCCCTTGTTATTAAAAAGGGCGAGTGCAGCAGAAGCAGCTCACTTCTTTCACTCGGCCTTTCCAGGGTCCCAGGCAAGGGCAGTGAGGCACAGGGGAGGTTTAGCCCAAGGTAGTCAGTGGAATGCCTGGAACTGTGATTTTTTTTTAGGAAGAAATCTCTCAGTTAGAGCGTATTTTACCTGGGGCAGTTCTTCCATTTCCCCAGGTGAGAAGGGTGTGACATGTCATTTCAACCAGCATGACTCTCCCTCCCACAACCAGGGAGGCTGTACACCCCTCAGGATGGGATGCTGGTGCCCTGCACAGGCCAGGATCACAAACCCTCACAGAAATGGGCCTAATGAGATGGGATGGTCCACAGAACATCCTTTATCCATGCAGTCCCTCTCCACTGCCAAGGTCCCCGCTCAAGCCCTTGCCACTGATATGGGAGAGACTCTGGCTGGAGGACCCAACAGTGCTTATAGAGCTTTTCCCCTCAGACAAAAAGGCAGAAGTTCAGGGCAGCGAGCCCAAACCTCACCTCCAGACCCCACCGTGCTCGCAGGGGCCTCGGAGTGGGACCAGCCAGGGAGACGCCGGGCGCGGGCGGCCCCTTACCAGAATCCGACAGAGCCGGGCTCACCAAGCTCAGCAGCTCCCGCTCCTTCTCGTAGTCGCCCTTACAGAGGAGCTGCCCCTCCTTCAGCACAAACTCGTCGCCCTTCTGCAGGCGCCGCTCGCAGACGCAGCAGCAGAAGCAGCGCAGGTGGTAGACGCTCTTCTGGGCACGCATCACCAGCTCGCTGGGCGCGATGGCCTCCAGGCACCCGGCACACTTCACTGCAAACAGCCTGCGGGAGCAAGAGGAGATCCCACTGTCACACCCAGCTGCACGTGGGGATGCTGGGGACAAGGGAGGGGGCACCCATGGTAGGGAGATGGGCATCGGCATAGGATCGCTGTGACATCCCTTCGGTGTTTGGATTGCATTGAGGGGCTGGGCACAACGGTGCTGGCACCCCTCAGTGACGTGGCAACATGCTGCAAGTGCTGCACACTTGCCCTGTGCCAGTGGGAGATGCTGCTTTTGGGTCAACTTCAGCAGTTTTGGTTGACCTATTACTAGATGCTTACCATGAACGCAGTCAAATGATGACAACCCCAACATCCAGATGCTCAAGATAAAAACCAAACAGGTGCCAAACCCAACAGGTAGCTCCCTCAGCTACCACCACAAGAAGACACAGAACACAACACATCCACATGAGTTTTATCAAGCCAGCTCTACATGTCCACCTGCCTCCAGCTCATGCCTAGACCTAGGGAGATGCTGGAGGTGGCAATGGGGACAGTGAGCTCATTCGTGCCTCTCCGCAAGCACCTACAGGAAGCATCTGCACTGTCAGTCACCCACAAACTACCCCATCCCTCTGGTCTGGGTCACTGGAACAGCCCCCTTCCTGCTTGCAAACGCATCAGGAATGTCTAATATATCATAAAAATCTCCATGGCAGCAAGTTTGGGGTTAAGGCCAGTGGCAGACTGAAGACTTGATGTGTCAAAAGGAAAAGAAAAAGCTCAGCTTGTTCTTTGACATTGATGTGACAGCGTTTGAGGCATCCCTAATTAAACTGTTCCCAGGTTTCAACACACTGACTTTAGACTTAAAAGCCAATAATAATAACAGCAGTAACACTTTAGATTGAAACAGAGCTTTTCTTTCTTCAGCTTTAAATGTCCTTACTGAGAATGATCAACAATTTACAGCTGGGGAAACTGAGGCAAGAAACCGGAGGTGGCAGCACCAGTGTCGGACAGAGAAGACCTGGAGGCACCTGGAATTAACCCTGGGCTGGATATTTTAAGTGAATGAGATTTTTACCCCATAGAGATGTTTGAAGGTATCAAACCAGAACCTCTTTGCCACCCCCAGATGCCTGAGTTCTTGGCTTGGACCCCATAAAATAAAAAAACACTGTTTACCCAGTCTTGTTCAAAATATCTGTGGGAACTGGACATTATTAGTCCCCTGTCTTGACCAACTTTGGCCCAGAAAGAGAAGTCAAAAGTCAGCACACATCCTGCAGAGGTTATCTCCGAGCATTGCCCGAGTCCCAGCCTGGGGATGCCCCAGGGACCCACACAGGGAGTGCTGCATCCAGGCTTCCACTGGCCCCAGATAGCTCCCACTTCCATGGTCCCCATCCCATGTGTCACCCCTGAGGGAGATGTGGAGGGGCTGGGGCTGGCTAGGGAGGGGATGGGCAGTCCTGCAGCCACCAGTGAGCTTTCAATCCTTTCTCTTTCTTTGGCTGATACAAAAAGCACACAGGAAATGTGCTGGAGCAGCCCCATTCCTACAAGAAGACGACCAGATGTAAGCAAAACCCTTGCAGGAAAACCATCAGAAAATGGGGATCATTTAAAGAAGTTTTGGTGATGAACAAAACAGGGAGATGAAAGCAGAGCAAGGCACATGCAAGTCTTTGTGTCCCAGAGGTGAAGGCACCCGTAACACCAGAGATGCTGAAGGCACCAGGGCACACTGACACCCACCAGCAGTGCCCAACAGCTTTGAGGGCTGGGTGTCAAGGGTTAGGAATGGGGCCTGCAAATGTACCCCGTTTTATCATCATTTTCTCCTTCCCACATTCAGGTTCTCTCATGGACACTTCATGCCAGCACATGGGCGATGCCTGTTCCCTCCCAGGTCTCCCCCAAACAGTGTTGGCAAGCACAGGGATACATCATTCTCCCCGTGCCAGCCAAATCCTGGGCACACTCAACAAATTGTAGCATGCCCAAAGAAGTGGGAAAGGGGTATTATAAAGCTTTTATAAAGCACTACTGTCACCACAGAAAGAGGAAATCATCAAAGAAAAGGTGGAGGTTAGGGAGTTTATAATTCTGGCTATTGCCATTAGTAGCTTTTATTTTTCTACATTCAGCTTTAATTTCCAAGGTTCACATACAACTGCCTGTCTCTTAGATGTATGTATTTCCAACATCCTTATGACTGCCCTGGGAGGAGAAGGATGAATATTCCCTTGAAAGCATCCCTTCCGAAGGGTCATTTTTTTTCTTGTTCCAGGTCCAAGAAACACTGGCTTGTGTTAATATTTCTGTAGTCACTTCATCTCTAATTATGTCTCTTTTATGTCAAAGTGGAGGCAATTTGTATTCATCCGGTAACACATTCTCATCTTATTTAAATGATGTTTAAGCCCTACCTGTTGGGATTACTAACTGTTCCCAGTAATAAAATATTGATAAGCTACTACATTACTGCTATCTAATCTTCATAAATGAATGTGCCCAAAATTTGTTTCCAAGGCACTTATTAGAGAGCCACAAACCTTTGCCAGTCAGGCACAGCAGCACCAGCCCAGTGATGGATGTTTCCAAGTCCAAAGCATGTTGCAAAGCAGGAAGGTGTGAGTTTTAGCTAAATGGCTGCCTAATATTAAATGCATAAAGCCATTTATTTCCCAACTGCTGAGTCCCCAACAGCTCTCTCTGAGGGGTGCCAGTCAGACCAGGCATCTTTCACTGCAGGACTTCCCCATCCCTGGGCAATGTGAGATGCAGAGAAATCCCCATAAAACCTCTTCCACAGTAGGAAACCATAAAGAGCTCCTTATAAACACACAATAAACTGAGAGCTTAGGTGAAACACACAATAAATGGAGACCTTAGGTGCTAAAATGTCACAGGCAGAAAAAGCACAGCTTACCATGGGTAGTAATGGAGAGGGAGCACAGGGCCTCACTGCTGTCCCAGGTCTCCCGAGCCCTGGACAGTACCAGCTACTCTACAGGGACTGGGAAACAACAGCACACATGGATAACTCCCTGCACAGATAACCCCACAAATGGAAAACCCTACAAATGGATAACCCCATGTGTAGATACTTCCACTGAGTAACAACCCCATACAGGATAACTCCAGCATGGATAACCCCTGCATGCATAACCCAGCTGAAACACTCTTGCTCAATCTGAGATGGGGTCGAAGGAAAATTTTCTTCCAGCACCACATCTAGCAATTAATTTAACGTTTTAGCCCGAGCAAGACACACCAGCCTAGATCCAGTGGTTTTCCTTCATCTCTGGGATCTTCAGCTCTGTGCCCAGCTCCCTCCTGCTGCAAGCAGGCCACAGAGCAAATGCCATCTCTTCTCCTCTCTCTTTGTGCCTCACTACATCTGTGGAAGGGACTTTGAGATTACATTTCCCTACAGGAGGCTGCGCAGAAGAGAAAGAGGACAGGCTGTGCCCAGGGACTTCAACTTTAAACCAAGGGCAAATTGCTACCCTCTGAATTGCAACGGGAGCACCTTCACTTCTGCCATCCTTGGGGTGCTGCCAGCTTTAGTTCTCAGTAGAGGGTTTTTTTCCCTCCCTAGGCTGGGGTTCCAAAGCTAAATCAGGCCTGGCTGGCAGCGGTGGGTTTGTTTAGCCAGGTGGGAAGTTGGCAGGCACAGGCCAGGGCACCAGGCAGGGAGACCTGCTCAGCACTGGGATGCTCAGTGGAGTCCCAGCTTGTTGCCGGCAGCTCAGTAAACGCCTCATCGAAGCGATGACAGCAAATGTTTGTAAATGAAAAAAACCCCACTCAGCTTAGGACAAGTTGGAATGAAAAAATGGTGATGTGAGCAATTTTTATCACAACACGCAGCCTTTTGTGTCTGATCTTAAAAATGTTCCTGTTCCTGTATTGATTAATCTGCCTTCCCCCCCTACCCCCCGACGTTTAGGTCCCTTTTGAAATGACAATCTGCTGGTTTGAAACAGCAAGGTGCTGGTGGTGGCTTTCAAGAAAACCTTGAAGCAAAATATTTGGGCATTTCCAAAAGTGCAACATTTCTGATGGTGTTACGGATATCCCCCCTTCCCCAAGATGCAGTCCCTCTTCTCCACACCATTCCTCTTCCTCAAGACAGCACCTCAGTCCTCTCCTTTGGGGTCTCCCATCCACACAGCATCACTAAAACCTACAAATGTCGAGGTGTGGCCGAAGGCACCCCTGGGGTGGTGCATCCCTTCCCAACACGCCGGTGGAGCGGGTGCGGTGCAGGCAGCCCCAGTTTCCCATCGGAGCCACCACCCCCTCTTTCTCCCTTTATTTTGAGGTGACAGGCTGAAAGGGGCTGTGATTGACGGGCGC